TGTATTATTCACATTCTCTTTACTGACTTAGCCTGTTGCAGACCAAGGGTAAAGTATTTTTATAATTATTTTTATAATTATGAGACAGACTACAAGGAATATAGAACAGAGAGCATGAAAACAGGGGGCAAGTATATCTCTGGGTATTTATTGAGAATCATCAGGAAGGTAAACAAAGTAAAATCATAAGGAAGTACAAAACAAAACAAGGTATCATGGGGAATTCTTTTGCAGAGAAGGCCAAGTTCCTCTTTATGCTTATCTCAAGAGCGAGGGATTCAGCTAATACAAACAAAGAACAATGCTGAAATTTAGGGAATGCCTTAGTGCCACAAGGTGACCTTCAACTTGTATTAAGCCTCCCTCATAACTTCATATATCATTTGGTCTACTATTAAAATATTAAATTTGATATTTGGCTTCCCTCATTACTCTGTAGAACTTTATCAGCAGGTGACTAACTGCACTGGACATCTGCCTCTACAGGGACACTTGTCAACCATTTCAGCCCTCAACCCAGGTACCAAGGAAGTGGTTGGGGTGAATACCCCTGGAACTTACACACTTCTTGTTGTTGTTGTTGTGTGCCATCAAGCCATTTGCCACTCATAGCAACCTTATGTACAAGAGCCCTCAATGGCATTCTATCCTGTGCCAACTTCACGGTCTCAAACACATTCATTCCCACCACTCCACTCACAGAATCGATCTATGTCATTGAGGGTCTTCCTCTCCTGTGCCATCCCTCCACTCTCCCAAACATGATGTCCCTCTCCAATGACCAGTCCCTCCTTGCAACATGCCCAAAGTAAGTCAGATGAAGCTTCAGAATCCCTGACTCTAGGAAACATTCTGGCTTCACCCTCTCCAGGACAAACCTGTTTGTTCTCATAGCAGTCCATGGTATATTCAACACTCTTCTCCAGCACCACAACTCAAAGGCAGTAATTCTCTTTCTATCATCCCTATTCACTGTCCAACTCTCTGATGCATAGCATCTAATTGCAAAGACTATAGCCTGTATCGAGCACACCTTATTCTCCAGCCTGACATCTTTCCTTATTCTGCAGCCTGACATCTGTACTTTCGAGAGGTCCTTCACAGCTGACTTTCCCAATGCAATTCATTTCCTGATTTCCTGGCTGCTGTTACCAAGAGTGTTGACTGTGGAGCCAAGTAAACTAAAACTGTTAACTCTCTCAATCTCTTCACCATCCAT